GGAACTGGTGCATAGGATGATGTGCAGGAGGGCAAGAGACCAGCCACTGCAGATGTCACTGCAAGGGCATGAAAGCAGCATCATGCCATCTGAAACAGGCCCCAAGCTGAGTCCAGCTTGAAGGATCAGCTTCAAGCTTGAAGGATTGTGTAAATCAGCTTCAGAACAAGCACCCTGCAAAAGGGCTCCAAACCACCAGGTTTAACACCATCTAGTTAGAACTGTGATCTTTTTATAGCAGAGTAAAATCGAAAAGAAGTAACATAAGCAAAAGGAGGTAGCAAATAAGCCACCCACTTGCCTCACAGCTTGTATGTCTTCTAAGAGCCCTTTCCTTTGTGCAGCAGCTTTCAGCGCTTGCCCAGGTTGCCACACACCCTGCATCAGGTTCTTTGCCCTGCCCCATTGCTCTCTGCCTTTCTCAGCATTCCCAGTCTCTGGCCAGCCCCAACCCAATGCTCTCCAGCAGTGACATGCCTTTCCCTCTCCCTGAGAGCCTGCTCATGGGGAAGAAGTCCCCTGCTCCACACTGACCCAGGCCGCCTTGTCCTTAAATCTCAGCTGGTGGGAGGATGCAAGAGCACTGGCAGGATGCACCACATCTGCTTGTTCTCTTTTAGATTGATTTTATCCTACCAGGCCTCCTATTATGGCTGTCAGGGAAAGGTTACCAACCATGTGCATCTTCAGCCTGGCCCAGGAAGGTTCCTGGGCAAGGCTTGCTGGCAGCCTCCCTCGCACTGCAGTGGCACACGACAAGCCTGTGCATCCCTGCCTGGTGCTGCCAGCTTCTGTCCCTCATGGAAGGGTACACCAGTGTGGGCTGCTCTCAATCACAGACCTCAGTGGGCAAGGGGCAGGATCTGTAATGAATAAAAAGCTCCTGGATCCAATTTTGGCCAGGAGCAAGTCAGAGGGCAGGGGTCCTGCTCCTGCAGAGCCATAAAACCATGCTGGTGGTGCAGGGTGGGAGGCAGGGACAGAGGAGCATGCCGCCTCCGCCAGCACATGGAGCTGCTCCAGCTCCGCATTCCTGAGCTGTTCAGCAATGTTTCTGCGGAGGCCCGCGGCCCTCAGCCCTCACTGGCTCGGCTGAACAAGAAATGAAATGCATTTTGGGTCCAGAGTGAGGGACCCCAGTGGCAGCGGGAAAGAGGCGGCAGAAATGCCCGTCTGTGCCATTACTGTCTATCCAGAAACACCAGCAAAGCTGCGGAGCCAAAGGGACAAGGAACACCCTGCCCTAGAAAGGACTTTTTGAATATTTCATATGTAGGGGCAGGCTGCTACGGTCACCAGGCCATCTTCTCTATATCTAAAAATATTCCTGAGTTGAGCATAAAGATGCTTTCAGTCCCTCCACAGGAAAAGGAGAACATGCCCCTGCCAGGACAAAGTCAGAGACCATGGAGGAAGGGGAGGGGAGGACGCCGGATGGCAGAGAGGAACTGAGAGGAGCCAGGCCATAACTGACCACTTCTGCAGCCTCCTCTTGCCCTCTCAAAGCCACCCAAAATCAGGTGCTGCTCTGGAGCCATCCCTTAGATTCTCCCTTGAAGGGAGCCACCGTGTTTTCCAAGGATGACTGCTCAAGCCTTCCCACTTCCGAGCTCTTACAAAAATGACAGAGCTTAACAGGGAAGGTTCTCATGACGTCAAGGAAGCCGTCAGAGGAAAGGGAGATGGTTCATTTTGATTCCCATATTCTAGGGAAACAGTTCAGGCTCCAGCAGCTGAACTTTGCCTATATCAATGTCTAAAGCAGAAATACTCTCTGCTGTATAAGAAGTATACCTCCTCAAACCCTGAAGAGATTTGTCAGCAAACACGGCAATTAATCACATGCGGTTTGCAAATCTGCTCTCTCCTGTGAGGGCTTGGTCCCTGAAGACATCTTGCCTCCAGGTACTACAGTGTGGGAGCCCAGTGTTGCAAACCAGAAAAATAAACAACCAAATTCAAGTTGTCCCTCTGGAAAGAAAAAAAAAAAAAAAAACCAACCACATTTTGATGAACACACACCAAATTTCTGTGCTGGCTCACCTCCAGAGCAAGCAAACCCGTTCTCAATCAGTTGTCAGTATGCAAAGGCAGATAAGGCATCAGAGCAGTGAGGTGGCCAGCCGGCAGACAAATCAACACACTTCTGCATTTTATAGCAAGCTGTGTGTAACCCTTTGAGTCACGAGCACGCTCCTGAGCAGATCCCAAAATGGAGGGGGTGCTTTCTTGATGGGTTCCCCCATCTCAGGAGCTGTTCTGTCTGCCTTCATCTCACCCTGCACTAGGTGAGGAAACCCTCATGGTGGTGGAGGTCTCATGGCTCTGTTTAAAGGTAGAGGCAGGGCAGGCAGGGCTGGCTGCAGGCAGGCAGAGCCGCGTCAGCCTGAGGAACCACTGTGTCATTGCTGGGACCACTGAGAGCAAATTTTCTGTCACGTGATGTAACTGCTATATTTGTATCAGCTGAGTTTAGCATTGCAAGAATGGTTACAGAGGAGGGTTTGTATCTCAAAAAAAAAAAAAAAGCAACCAAAATCTAATAGCAGCCTGCTGGCACACTCACACTGAATTTTCAGATCAAGCTGCAAAACTTCAAATGCAACAATTTTGCCATTTTAACACGTTCTTTTTAAGAGAGACTCCGGAAGAGGTTTGGGTTTGTTGGTTGTTTATTTTTTTATGGCAATGCCAAATTTCACTTGGGAAAGGCCCCACTCTGGATCAGCCCCAGACTGGGAGCTGGCTGCAGCTAGCTTTATCAGCTGCAAACTGCTCCACTGCTGGGGTTTTATGCAGGCACAGGGCTGCCAACCAGACATATCCAGGTAGGTACCAGGCCACTGCAACACCTGCCAGCACTGGCTTTGCTGCCACATTGGCATCTGCATAACAGCAGGATAAACTGGGTCAAAAACTAAGCTGGTAAGAAGCTGGACCAGGCTCCAGCTGAGAACTGGGTTCTCCAGTATGGAAACAGTATACACAGCCATGGCAGGCACCAGGAGAGGTGGGAGCAGTGGTTACCACAGCCCCACATCGATGGTAAGGCTGAGCAGCTGGCGATGGTGCTGCATGCTGCAGAGCCCATTCAGCCCGGTTCCTCTTTCCCAGCTGCACATCTGTGTCAGATAGGAAGATGGTTTCTTCCAGCTGACACTGAGGTCACTCCCCAGCAGCGCAAGAAGACAGCAAGCCCAGCCCAGGCCCCCGTCCTCCCCCCGGCACTCCTGTGACCAGCCAGATGCTAGACATGGCTGGGGCAGGAGCATCCTCTTGCCCCCATAGGGAGGGCAGCCCTGCTCAGTGAGAGAAACAGGCAGGGGATGGGCAGCGAGGCCATAACTGCAGCCTGCCTGCAAGCTCACCAACGCTGGGGTGAAGCAGCTTTGGCCATTAACTGCTATTTCCCATGCATCCACAGGCCTGTCCGCTCATGCCGGGCATTCCCTGCCCTCCAAACAGAGGGGGCACAAACGGCAGCACCCCCAGGCTGCCCACCACCAAGGTAACCGTCAGGGTGAGCAAGGACAGGAGGACAGTGCACCTGGCTAGCACTGCTTTCCACGACCTCTTCTGTGTCCATAGCAAGCCGGCCCTCCAAGCACAGCACCCTGAAAGCAGTGCTCAGGGGGCAGTGTGTGCTCACACAGCCTCTGGAGACCACCAGGTGCCCCCAGTGTGGGCACCTGTGCTTGCCAGGACAAGAAACTTGCCCAACGCCATGCCACTGGCCAAACAGAAAGGGGAAAGTGAGAGGGGAGCACAGTCAGGTTTTGGGGTGCATTTCTCCACCCAGCAGCCTGCAAAGCTCAGGTCAAAAAAGGAAGGCACCTTGAAGGTTCCTGTTCCCTCTTCCCCAGCCTTCCTGCTGCCCTCCTGCTGGGACATGCCACTTTGGGATGTTCTAAGCTCCTACTGCTGTCATTTGGTGAGCAAGCTTTGCACTGGGGCCAGTGCTGACCGCACACAGTTGCCTGCTCATTTTGTGCTTGGTGGGGGGGGTTTCACCCCATGGTCTGCAGGGAAGTTTTTAGACCCTTTACCAGGCAGACCGTGGGCTACAGCAAAGCCAAAGATCCCAAAAGTATGTCCCCTCCCCTTTTCAGCAGCGAGGCGCAGGGAGAGAGGAGAAGGGAGTAAACAATTATTGCTACCAAATATGGGTCTAACAGCGAGCGATGAAGCCACGGCAGAAGCATGTAGACATCCTGCCGGCAGATTCAAAGGGCCGGGGAGCTCGCAGGGGCCCGGGCAGGATCTGAGAGGGAGCGGGGCTGGGCAGAGAACAGAGGATGGGGAAGAGTTTCCCTTGCTCGGTGAGCTGCTCCAGCCAGGGCACGGTGGGGACCCAGGCTTTTCCGCGACGGGGCCAGTCCTGCCCCGCAGCACCCACCCCAGCCCCACGTGTCCCAGCTCAGCGTCCCGTCCCAGCGAGCTCTGCCTGTCCCGGAATGATCGGTGAGAGCTGCCGGGGTGACCTTCCCCCGCCCCGGTTGCGGCACGACCACGGGGACTGTGTCCTCCGGCGTCCCCACCCAAAACCGCGCCACGGGCCGGAGACTCACTTCCCACTTGCTTCCCGCAGCGTATAGGCACGGTGGGCAGGAAGGGCAGGGGGAAAGCTTCACCGACATACCCGGCCGGCACCAAAGCTCGTCCCCACCCCTGTCGGAGGGCCCGTGCCCGCAGCCAGGTCTCTCCCGCTCGGTCCCCGGGGACCCCCGAGGCGGGGGATGCTGGCCCGGGCCTAGCGAGCGCAGAATTCGGGCCGAGGCCTGCAGCGGTGGCGGCTATTTTAGGGCTGGGTAAGGACAGGACCGGGATTAACGGGGCCAGGCCCAGCCCGGCCGTGCCTGCCCGCGCTGCCCCGGGCCCTCCGGTGGGCGTCG